CGGTCATAGGTGTATAGAGAAGTTGATGTCCGAGTTTAGAATAGATGGCCATACTATCAAGAGGGGCAAACTTGTTTGCATATCGATTATCTAGTGTCACTCGAGTGATCTAACTTTGCATCGTTGCTAGGATCGAGTGGCGTGGCAAGTTGAGTGGCTAATCATTTGGAAAATATTTGTGAAAAGCTAACACACATACACATGGTGGTGTACACTTGGTGGTGTTGGCACATTTGCAAAGGTGAAGAAGTTGGTGAAGAAAATGAGTTGAGTGCGCTGGTCACGGGGTGACCGGACGCGTCCGATATGTTGACCGAACGTGTCCGGTGTCTCCCCGATGTGACCTGATGCGTCCGATATCTATACCGGATGTGTCCGGTAATCTGGCCAAGCATGGGCAGAGTTGCCGATGTGACCAGACTCTGACTCGTAGTAGTGATCAGACGCTAAGCAATCATTGTGTTGCGTCCGATCGTGGTGACATGGAGCGCTGGTGTTGGTCCAAAGTGGACTGAACGCAGGGGCACGTCCGGTCGGCCACACTGGACGCGTCCGGTCAGAATTGAGCAGCTCTGGGAGCTCTTTAGACTCGATCAGACGTTGCCTGTCCTGTGTTCGGTCGGTCACACCGGACGCATCCGGTCGCAGTTGAGCAACTCTAGGAGCTCTTTGGACTCGACCGGCACTCGCCCTCCTACATCCGATCGACACACCGGACGTGTTCGATCCGACATGTCAGAGGGAGCCGTTGGCGGCAATGGCTAGTTTGAATGGGACACATGGCGGTCAGGCTGTGATCGAACACAGGCGACTGGACGCGTCTGGTGCACATGACTTGCACGTCCAGTCATCCCGATAAACGCCCAGTGAAGGGGTAATGACTATTTTAGCACGTAGGGCTATAAATAGAAGGTGGTCTCGGCCATGGCTGGGGTTGAGCACCTTGGAGTACTTTATGTCCATGCTTGAGAGTGCTTAGGAGCCCTCCATCTCACATATGCTTGATAGTGATCATCCGATTGTATGAGCGAGCGATTCTAGTGCGATTGCATCGTGAGGTTGCATTGGGTGGCACTAGGTGATCGTCTTATAAGCAGTGGTGCTTGTTACTCTTGGAGGTTGCCACCTCCTAGACGGTTTGGTGGTGGTCTCCGTCGAAGCCTACAAGAAGCTTGTGCGGTGCTCCGGACAAGAGCTTTATGAATGGCATTATGCTCGCCCCACGGGAGGCGCGAAGAGCAACTCTAGTTGAGCGTGTCATTGAGCTACCCTCACTTTCTAGGTAGATTCTTGCGGTGCCCGACGTGCGGGCATGGCGGGTGATGCCAATTAGCCGCCGAACCATCAAGTGAGCGGTCGACGCAACGGGGACTAGCGTGTTGGCAAGCACGTGAACCTCGAAAAAAAATCATCGTGTCATTCTTGTATTCCTGTTGGTTTGCATCCTCATTACACAAGTTTGTAATTACTTTTATATATATTGTGCTTGTGTAGTTGCTCTTGTAATTAGTAAGCTTGTGTAGCTCACTAGTTACCTTCTTGCTTGTGTAGCATAGAAGTAGCTCCCTTGCGTGGCTAATTTAGTTTGTGTAACCTTTTTAGTCACATTGCTTAGTTTGTGTAGCTAAGTATCAACGCTCTCTAATTTGGTATTGGTTACCTTGTTATTGAGCATTGCTAGTAAGCTTAGTTAGCTTTGTGCTTTTGCTTATTAGCATGTGTAGGAGCTCCCATGTTGCTTAAAATATTAGTGGCATAGGTTTGTGTGACGTTGCTTCTAGAATTGGTTAGGTGAGCTCTAGCTAGCCCGGCACCTTTGTTGCCTAACTAGAATCTTTATAAGGTGCTTATGAACTTTGATAGAGGGGTGTAGTCTTGGCTAGACCGAATTATTTTAATTCTGCATTTATTTTGGTTAGTCGACGTGATTAAATTTAGTAATGACTATTCACCCCCCTCTAGTCACCATCTCGACCTTACAGGCGGTCGTTTCCGGTGAGCCACCCCTGCCTCCCTCCCTCCCTCCATGACCTCCATGCCATCGGAGAGGCGGGCGATGGCGGCGGCTTTCCGACGGTGGGTCCTTCTCTGGATCTGAGCTCTCCTCCTCCACCTCCTCTGGATCTGAGCTCTCCTCCTCCTTTGGATGGACGACGCGGTGGCTAGGGTTCCGGCGAGCTCTGTTGCAGTAGCATTGTTTTGCTGTTGCAACAAGTATTCTTTTTTGTTGCATTAGTTTTTTCTGATGTTGCATTGCGCATTGCGCTTTTGTTTCTGTTGTTGCAGTAGCGTTGTTTTGATGTTGCAACAAGTATTCTTTTTGTTCCATTAGTCTTTTTTTTATTGTTGCATCTCGCATTGCGCTTTGTTTCTTTGTTGTTGCAGTAGCTTTGTTTTGCTTTGCAACAAGTAATTTTTCATTGTTGCATTAGTTTTTTTTCTTCTGATGTTTGATTTCTCGCCTTTGCTTTTTATTCTGTTTTTTCTTGCAATAGGCTTGTTATGGTATTGCAACAAGTAATATTTCTTTGTTGTATTAGTTTCTTTTTTCTGATCTTGCATCTCGCGTTGCAGCACCTTTGTTCTGTTGTTGTAGTAGCTTTGTTCTATTGTTGTAGTAGACTTTGTTCTGATGTTGCATCTCGTATTGCGCTTTGTTTGATGTTGCAAACAAGTAATACTTCTGATGGGAGCGCGGCGAGATAGGGCGGCGCGGTGGGATGGTGGGATGCGGCGCCTGCGGGACAGAACGAGTTTATTGTTCCATGGAACGGGCCGACGCGAGGTGCTCCATTGTTTTGCTCGGGATCGAGTCTACTGTTCCGTGTGGGAGGGGGGGGGGGCGTTCCGTGCGGGGGGCGGATGGGCTCGAGGTGCGTCCAGACGCGCCCTTGAATCCGGGCGTTTGGGCGCTAGGAGCGTCGATTTTCTTTCTTTTTGTAGTATTCCTCCATGTATTTGACACATCAACTGATGTGTTTTTCCCTTCTGGCCTTTTGGACTTTACGTACGTATGTATTGCCTGGGCACCGTGTGGCCGCTTCTCCTGTACGTCTGCTTTTGGATGCAGCAGGCACTGTGGCCGTCGCCTGGCCAGGCAAGCAGACTCGCTAGGGCAATCGCAGTGGCGTCGGGCTCGGCCAGGCCAGACACGGCCGTGGCCAGGCCTAGAGCGGGTGCGGCTAAGCCTGGGGCGGCCGGCGCGGCTAGGCCATCGTTGGGCGTGGCCAGGGCGAGCGGGCAGCCGTCCAGGTCATCGGGGCCTTCCATGGCTGCCACGTTGAGTTCCGTCGGGAAGGGCGGCGCTCTTCGTATCGGTGGCTAAGGTAGAGACGAAGCGTCGGGCTCTTCGTATCATGTAGATGTAAAATCACATAAGGGCAAATACGTCTGTTTAGGTGTAAAATACATGGAAGAATACTACAAAAGGAAGAAAATACCCATAATGTCAAGAAAATCGAGAGTCCAACGTTTGGAGGCCTATTTTTACGAAGTCGATGTTTGGAGTCCCAAAATTGCGAAGCGCGACGATTGGAGTCCTGAATATGCATTTTTCTTCATTCAATCAAAGTTTTTAATTGAACTGATTCATAGGATCGCAACAAGATAATTTCTATCAGAAAACCACTAGAAATTTTTATTTTATTTTTTGACTAGTCAAAAAATAAAATAAATAAAAAATAGGGAAGAGAAAAGTCAAGAGGCCTCTAATGATCAACATAAGGGAAAGAAAGACAGATGAGCCAACTTGAGATTTTTTGGCATTATTATCACAAAGAAGAAATTCTGGATTTTTCTTATTTCATATCTTCAAGGCAAATCGATCCAATACCGTGGCTGATGGAGTTTTGAACCTTTTTTTCTAATATCCGTTGAAAATTTGTGTATTTTTGCTTGAGCCGTACGAGATGAAATTTTCATATACGGTTCTCGGAGGGGGAGTCGGGCTAGTTACCTATCTCAATAAAGACATTTGAGAGTTAAAAGGTTTCATTTGCGGAAGTGAAGAAGAATGTAGCCATAGCAAGCTTTTTACAATTGACTATTGTCCTGTTCGCTTGGCTGATAAGCCATGACTATACTGTTAACTGATTTGTTGTGAGAAAAAAATAATATTTATTGACTGAAAAAGTATAGCTTATAATATCCACACAAAACAGAGTTGACTACACATAAACGCAACTACAGTTACGCTGATACCTCCCAATATATATATCACAAACATTTATTAGGTACTGGAGTATGGAGTAGGTATCTATTTTCTTACGTGAATATCACCTGCAAAACAACAGACAATTCAATTTTAAATTTTTTTACCATGGTTGGAAAAAATATGAGCCACCCACTGGATGAGATCGGACGATGAAAAAATAGAAGAAACTCAACTGAAAGTACTTGACTGTACTAAATAGGTGGGGATAGTCCCAAATTAGGTGGGGGCGACTACCAAAATACGTGGGGCAATATCTATTTTTTATTTTTTATTTTATTTTCGAATAAGGATAAATCGGTCATTTTACTGCGGTCATTAAAGGGCAAAAATGAGATTTCCATGTCTTTTTTTTTTCTACAGAGGGATAAGGCCTGTTGGGCTGTGCCTAGGGTTGCCATACCCCGGCCGGCGCGGCCACGGCCGGGCGCGGCTCCGGACAGCGGTGGCGGGGCTCCAGAGCGCGGCGGCAGGGCGGGAGCTCCGGTGGGGCGCGGCTCCGAGCGGGGGCTCCTGTGGTGCCGGGCGTGGTCTGCGGTCGCGGCCACGGCCGGGCGCGACCCCGGCGGGCGCGGCTCCGGATCACGGCGGCGGGGCGGGGGTCGGGGCTACGGAGCGCGGCGGCGGCGGCAGGGCGGGAGTTCCGGTGGGCGCGGCTCTGGGTGGGGTCTCCTGGGGTGCCTGGCGCGGTCTGCGGTGGGGCGCGGCTCCGGTGGTCTTCGACGGCCTTGCCGACGGCCACCGATTGCGCCGCCACCGTCGCGCGGCCGTCCTCGCACACGAAGAGCCACTAGCAACGGCTGAGGCTCCCTGACCCTCGGCGCATTCTCTTCTCCGCGCTGAGATGTCCCCGGGCGAGCGACCCTGCTGCAGGATTCGATGCGGCGGAGGAGCCAGAGAACACGGACTGGAGGGTCGCCATCGTCGGCTCCTTCGAAGGTTCAACCACCGCCTCTCCACGGTCGAGGCCGCCATGCGCCCCCACCCAGGTTCGGTCGTCGTCGCCCCGTCTCGTCCCGAACACTTCGGACGATTCGCATTCGTTGGATTGATCCCCGACCCCGGCGCCCAGGCTCACGACGCCCCGAACGGCTCCCCGACCCCCGCTGCTACCCACTGCCAGCGCGCAGAGACGCACGCTTCGGTGGCCGCGTGGTGCCGCAGCAGCCGCCACAGCGCCAAGCGATGCTGGCCCTGCGCACGCGCAACGCTCCGCCACGAAAGCCATCCCTGTGTGCCGTGGGATGTCGTCAAGCCGTCGAGCTTCTTAGGCTTGTTTTCCATGACTGCTTCGTCTGAGGTATGCATTGGCCTGTCTGAATCCTTGTATGTAGGTGGAAGAACAATACAAAAAAAAGATCTAGAAAACATTGAGGTTCTGGTCTGGTGCAACTCGTGTCTCAGGTTGCTTTGCTCAATGGTTTTTTGACTCTCGGAATTCAGAGTGCTTAGCAGAAAAGAAGCTTGTGTTTAGTTAAAATTCTGCAGGCCTGAAGAAATGATCAAGTACAAATTGTAGCAGCTAGTTAAACGTTTCCACTTACCAGTTAGTTGCCTGGAAAAAGCCAAAGCAAATTGTTCAGAATTACATCCCGTAATAATGCTGCTGATTTGCATCATCTACCCTGCTATTTATCTTAGAAAGGAATAATAACGTGCAAGGATTTGTTTTGGATGCAGTCAGCATACTCAAGTAGACTGCTAACCAAATGCAAATAATTTAGTGAGAGCCAGATATTCCAACATCATTAATGCCTAGTTGAATACTGGTTGCCAAAAAGCAGTTGTCTTTTAAAGCTTGCGTTGCGTGTGTGTGAATGTGAACAAGGAGTGCCAACGCATTCTAGCTTCTGGCAAGAACAAGCAATTTCATTCAAACTGCCTTCTGTCATCTTGCAATGCACCTCGTACTTGGTCTCCATTTTATCCTTCTTCGCCACAGTGAAAGTAGACATATCACACCCATCAAGAATCTCGCTGACAATACATTTATTTGCTGCATGTATACTCCACTGAACCAAGGCAAAAACTGTTGGTGTGAACTGTTCTGAAGCCTCTACCTCAATTTTTGAAGAATCCTTTGCTGTGAAAGGCTTAAAGTGCAGCGCTATACTGTCCTGCCTAGCCTCATTTCTGCGCAACCCAGAAAGGCAATGCTCATAATGATGTAACATGTCAAACAGTGACATTTTCCTATCGAGACGTGTATGCAGCACGGAGTTTAGGCTCTCACTCCGTTGGTTACTCCTCAATCCTAAGAAACAACGTCCCACCTGATAAGCAGCACACCATAGGTGCCTCATCTGATACATCTGATGCAACCACGACTCCTCACTTGTAACTTTGTGCCTTTCCAAAATCTCATGCCATTTCCTCTCACTCTCTTCTATGCGACAAGTTTCATATAGAAAAGTCCTAAATTCTTCCTTAACCTTATCATCATGCAAATTACGAACAATATTCTGCTCAATATGCCAGACGCACAACGTGTGGTTTGCGTTTGGCCAAACCACCCTTATTGCTCTCTGCATTGCAATGTCTCCATCAGTGATCACAGACACCAGGCCAGCATCCACTCATATGACTCACTAGTCTAAAAAAAGGGCGTACCCAGTGCAGAGAGCTTCCAACTGTGCGGGGTCTGGGGAAGGGTGTCAGTGACAAGCCTTACCCTCGCTTGTGCAATGCGAGGAGACCGTGACTCGAACCCGGGACCTTCCGGTCACAGGCGGTAAGACTCTACCGCTTGCACCAGGCCCGCCCTTCATATGACTCACTAGTCTCATGAGAAATAATTCCACAACCAAAAATAACAGTGCTCCGGTGGTGATTCAACCCCACAAATGGCAAGTTGTATCGATTGGTTTTATATGTGCTGTCAAATACAACCACATCACCAAAAGCTTAATGGTCCTGCTGAGACTGACTATCACACCAGAACAATCCCTCAAGATGGTTGTCCCCATCAACAAAGAACTTGAAGAAAAATCAGGATCTCTTTCTTGCCTCGCCTTGAGGTGACGGCTCACTGTTTCTGCATCGCCGGCGGCAATTGTCTCCTACTTATAGCGATAGCAGAAATTGTACAAGTCCCTACTCATACATCCGACATTATCATAACCCCCATACTGCATTTCCAGAATATCCATAATATGGTGCTTGCGGATTCCAGAAATTTCCATCTCCACAATATCAACCTTTTGCTCATCACTGATTCTTCTGTGCGAACGTAGGAAACATACAAGGTCCCTTGTCGCCAGCACATGGTTGTGCCCATCGATAAAGTCCTTCACAAACCACCACCCTGTTTCCTGGTCACGTGCAATGACCAATTTGGCTTCACATCCAACCCGACTGATGTTCCGTGGCCTCCTCTTCTTAGTTTCCTTGGCCATGTACTTCTCTTCACGGAAACCTTGCCAACTGCACACAAACTTCCTCAGGATTATCTCAGTTTTGGCATCGTCCCACTCCACATAGCTTTTCCTCACACTAAACCCTTTATCAAATGCATATTTGTTATAAAACTCGAAGCCTTCGTCTTCGCTAGCAAACAATTTCCTTACAATTTCCTCGTACTCCAGTATAGACTCGGCACTAAAATCGGCCATCTCTTCCTGTACATAGTTCAAAAAAATATTAGAAGAGCAACAAACAAAGATTTGAACAGCACCAAACAAAATTTCCAAACTAAAAATTGTGTTTCGCTTCGGAAAAAAGGAAAACAATCTGCTTCAGACCTTGTAATGCAAAATTATTGAGTACTGAGTCCCATGTTTAAGTAGGCTTGTAGAGTACTAAAACTACAAAGATCTTTAATTTTGAGAGAACATAAAAAAAAGTTGGACATACTCAATTAATTCCATCAACCTGGTTCGAATGAATCTTGTGTCCTCATATCAGTTTATGTTATAGGGACAACCTTGGCAGGAAACCCAATATGTTCTTTTTTGTGCAATAATGGTAGTGAATGCTTCTACCAAGAGGTGTGTCCCAACTGATGCTGGCTGTGTCCACTAAGCATTATGTTCATAGAATTGTGAAGTGTTTAATGTAAGACATAATCTGCTGCTGATCTCCTTCTCTTTCTCTGATGCAGAGTTGCAATGTGGTCAGCTCATTGCTGTCTTTTGCCCTGTTCAAGTATGGCAATAGGCCATCACTTGTACCAGGCTGTACTCTAGGTAGTAGAGGCTTAGCTCAGCCATATCTTAGTTGTTGTGGCTGATATCAGCCATGTCCTAGAGGACATTGTAGTAGGCGTACTAGTGTACCTTAGGAGGTACTAGCAGCTTGTATATATATACTACCTCTATGCAATAGAAAAAGGGCAGTTCAGTTGCCACATTCAGTCTTCAGAGCTCTGGTTAAGAGCTGGTGTGTGTGCTCTGCACTCGACCCCTTCTTCTACCTCTAGCCGTGGTGTGTGTGTGCTGGTAAGCTTGTTGCTTACCTGTGCAGGGCAGCAAGGGACCAACAAGTGGTATCGGAGCCGTACAGCTGCGTCGCCGGACTAACCGCTGGCGATGGCGGGTGATCATGGCTCAGAGACGGGCGACAGCAGCGGTTCTGCTGGGGCTGCCCAGCCATGACAGGAGGTCGTTGTGCGCGCGGTGCGGGAGGTCAGTGGCACCAGTTGGCCGACGCTGACTCGCACCAACTATGGCGAGTGGGCGGTGACCATGAAGGTCAAGCTCAGAGCCCGACGGCTCTCGAATGCCATTGACAAGGGCACCGACAACGAAGAAGACGACATGTCAGCGATGGAGGCTATCATCGCTGCTGTGCCAGCGGAGTACAGGGAGCCGTTGGGGGCGAAGAAGTCTGCTAAGGAGGCGTGGGAGGCCATTGTGGCGATGCGCGTCGGCTCCAATCGCGCAAAGAAGGCGACGTCCTAGTTGCTGAAGCAGGAGTACGCTAACCTCAAGTTCCGCGATGGTGAATCAATGGAGGACTTCTCTCTCCGCCTGCAGTCGCTCATCAGCAAGCTGGGGAGCCACGGTGTCACCATCAACGAAGAGGAAGCGGTCTCCAAGTACCTCCACTCCGTGCCGGTGAAGTACATCCAGATCTCTCTCTCTATAGAGACGATGCTGGACCTGTCCACCCTCACCATTGAGGATGTGACCGGCCGTCTGCGGGCGGTGGACGAGCGCATGGAGCAGGCCACGACGATGGCGGACAGCGGCAAGCTATTGCTGGCGGAGGAGGAGTGGGCGGCTCAGATGAAGGAGAAGAAGTCTGGGGAAGGCTCCTCTAAGGGCGGCGGCGATGGCAAACGCCACGGCAAGGCTTCTTCGGAGAAGAAGAAGAAGAAGAAGATCGACCCCAACGCCTGCCGGCGCTGCGGGAAGATAGGCCACTGGGCAAAGGAGTGCCTAAGCCGCAAGCAGGAGAAGAAGGCCGAGGCCCATCTGGCGCAGGCTGATGATGAGGATGAGGCCACTCTCCTGATGGCGTCGTTCTGTGCCCTGCACGACGTCGAAGTAGAGGAGAAAGCAAAGGAGGTGGCGATGGCAGAGCAAGGGAAGACTCTGAAGGCTGTCGACCTCGACGAGTCGCGTGCCCAAGTCCATCTCAGACGTGTGGGCGGCGAGGAGCAGAGGTGGTACCTGGACTCCGGGGCCAGCAACCACATGACAGGCTCCAAGGCGGCCTTCTCCGAGCTCGACGGGAACGTGATCGGCACGGTGAAGTTTGGCGACGGCTCAAGGGTGGCGATCCGAGGGCGTGGCACCACCATCTTCAGGTGCCAGAACGGCGAGCACCGCGCGCTGACGGATGTGTATTACATCCCGCAGCTGCGTTCAAACATCATCAGCAATGGGCAGCTGGATGAGCGCGGGAGCGAGGTGCTGATCAAGGACAGCATCCTTAGGATCTAGGACTGGGAGCGGCGGCGGCTTTTCGCCAAGGTGAAGAGGTCCACCTGCTCGACTTGAAGGAGGAGCAGCCCATTTGCCTGGCGGCTCGGCGCATGGAGGAGCCGTGGCTGTGGCACGCCCGGTTCGGCCATCTCAGCTTCGACGCCCTCGGCAAGCTGGAAAACATGGTTCGGGGGCTACCTCACATCGAGCACGCCTGGCCGGGAAGCAGAGGAGGTTGCCGTTCCCAAAGATGGCGAAGTACCGCGCGGCAGAGGCCCTCGAGCTGGTCTGTGGCGACCTTTGCGGGCCAATCACGCCGGCGACGCACGGCGGGCGCAAGTACTTCATCTTGCTCGTGGATGACTGCAACCGGTACATGTGGTTGTAGCTCCTGACGAGCAAGAGTGAGGTGGCGGAGGTGATCAAGGCGTTCAAGGCGCGCGCGGAGGTTGAGTCCGGGAAGAGGCTGCGCGTGCTGAGGACAGACTGCGGCGGCGAGTTCACGCCGGTGGAGTTCGCCGCCTACTGCGCGGATCAAGGAGTGGTGCGCTACCACACCGCGCTGTACTCGCCGCAGCAGAATGGCGTGGTTGAGCGGCGGAACCAGACGGTGGTCAGCATGGCGAGGTCGATGATGAAGGCCAAGAAGATGTCGGCGGAGTTCTGGGGCGAGGCGGTGACCACGGCCGTGTTCATCCTCAACCGCGCGCCCACCAAGGCCCTGAAGGGCAAGACGCCATTCGAGGCTTGGCACGGGCGCAAGCCGAACGTGTCGTTCCTCAGAACGTTCGGCTGCATCGGCCATGTGAAGAACACCAAGCCTCACCTCGGCAAGCTGGAGGACAGGAGCACACCCATGGTGCTCCTAGGCTACGAGGAAGGCAGCAAGGCCTATCGGCTCTATGATCCCAAGGGAGGCAAGGTGGTGATCTCCAGGGATGATGTGTTCAACGAGATGGCGGCCTGGGATTGGGAGGATTCAGGCACGGGGGAAGCTGGTGGCATCAACGACACGTTTGTCGTCGAGCACCTGGTGATTCAAGGAGGAGGAGATGCAGGCGCTGAGAAGCAGGTTGCGGACGGGGCAGGTCCGGCAACTGAAGCGGCTGAGGAGCCGCCAAGTCCGGCCACGGTGGGCGCGGGCGAGCAATCTCCACTAGTAGCGGCGCACTCGCCTCCACTGTAGTCCCCTGCTTTGGCAGGACAGGGGACACCTCCGCTCGAATTCGCCTCTCCGCCCACCGACATCAACGAGTACGTGGACGCCTTCCACGACGGCGAGGAGGTTCGTTTCTACCGGGTGGACAACATCGTCGGCGACGGGGGAGCTCCTGGGTTGGCCAGTCGGCTTCTCGACGACCCGTAGCTGCTCCTTGTCAGTGCAGAAGAGCCGCCCACGTTTGCGGTGGCTGAACGAGCTGCCAATTGGCGCCGGGCAATGTTGGAAGAAATGAAGGCCATCGAGGACAACCGGACTTGGGAGCTCGTTGATCCACCAGCGGGCTGCCGGCCAATCGGGCTCAAATGGGTCTACAAGATGAAGCGGGACGAGCGCGGCGCCATCGTCAAGTACACGGCACGGCTTATCGCTCGCGGCTTCGTTCAGCGCGAAGGCATTGACTTTGAGGAGGTCTTTGCTCCGGTGGCGCGCATGGAGTCCGTCCGCCTGCTGCTGGCCATGGCAGCGGCAAAGCATTGGCGTGTCCACCACCTCGACATCAAGTCGGCGTTCCTCAACGGCGAGCTCGTGGAGACGGTCTTCGTCAATCAAGTTTCGGGCTTCGTCGTCAAGGGCGTAGAGCACCTTGTGCTCAAGCTGCGCAAGGCGCTCTACGGGCTTCGTTAGGCCCCGCGGGCGTGGAACGCCAAGCTCGACACCACCTTGGGCGAGCTTGGGTTCACTCGCTGCACCACAGAGCACGCGCTCTACACGCGGCGACGGTGAAGGAGAAGCTCGTCGTCGGCGTCTACGTGGACGATTTGATCGTCACCGGAGCGCGAGCAGAGGACATCGATGCCTTCAAGTACGAGATGGCGGCTCGTTTCAAGATGAGCGATCTCGGCGCGCTCTCCTACTACCTTGGCATCGAGGTGAGGTAGGGGAAGCAGAGCATCTCCCTGGGCCAGCGCAAGCTGCTGGAGCGCGGCGGCATGGTAGAGTGCAAGCCGTGCGCGACTCCGATGGATGAGCGGCTGAAGTTGAGCAAGCACAGCACCGCGGCGAAGGTGGACGCGATGCGCTACCGAAGCATCGTCGGCGGGCTGCGCTACCTCACACACACTCGGCCGGACATCGCATTCGCGGTCGGGTACGTTAGCCGATTCATGGAAGACCCGCGCAAGGATCACTGGACGGCGGTGAAGAGACTGCTGCGCTACGTCAAGGGGACGCTCGATTGAGCAATCATCTTCCCCAAGCACGGTGGCAAGGGTGGGCTGCGCCTCACGGTCTTCAGTGAGGCACCCCCCAAAACAGAGGAAGGTGAGCCGGAGCTCACGGTTTTCAGCGATGCAGACATGGCGGGCGACATCGACGTGTGACGGAGCACCTCTGGTGTGCTCGTCTTCCTTGGAGCAGCCCCCATTGCTTGGCAATCGCTGAAGCAAAAGATCGTGGCGCTGTCGATGTGTGAGGCGGAGTACGTCGCAGCAGCCACGGCGGTGTTCCAGGCTGCGCCGGTTGCTGGGCGAGCTGACCGGCGAGGAAGCTCACCAGCCAGCTCTGATGGTGGACAATCAGCTCA